CGTCAGCGGACGCGCGCGGCTGACGATCCAATTATATGGAAACTTGGCTTGCCGCACCATTTGACCGCGCGCTGACCAGCCTTGAAAGAAGTAAAAAGTTCAGTTCCAATTCAGATGGACTACTGCCAGGCAGCGATCCATCAGCCCAAATGGACGTTCATTCACTGCACTCAGCGGACACGTGCGGTCGACAGCCCAAACAGGTGAGATCCTAAAATATCCAACATGTCAGAGCAGGGTCCATGTCTAAATAATGCAGAGTGCAGGCAGAAGCAGGGATTTAATGTGCTTTGACGGTCATGAAAGGACAAACACCCCCTCAGCTCCGATCTTCTGCCCCCTCAGCCGTGCCCGTCGGCTAATAACTATATAAGCAGTCAAAGCTTAATTTAAAGTATCGGGGGGGTTTTCAGGTTCGGACCTGTAATTACTGTTAATTCGTCGGGTCGGGTGGGGTTCGGAAATTATGTCTACGGGCTGGGGCAGGTTCGGGTTGGATTTTTTTGGTCCTGAATGCAACTCTACTTGACTCATCCACTCGGGTGGACTCGGAGCATCTTCAGAGTCTTCCCATTGGGTGAGCCCACCCACCCCCAGCTCGGTTTTTAGGACTGACTCAGCTGAGGTTCCAAGCAAGCTGGGTCAAAGGAAACATTACTGTTGTTCAAGCAAAGGGCTTTAGCAATAAAGATCACTCCTGTCTGGTAGATCAGCTGTGCTTTTTATCAATAAAGATTAACTCAGCTTTTATTTAAATTTATTTTGAATCATGCAAAAAATATTTTATTCATACTCTTTTTTTTTCTCTCCCCCCCCCCCCCCCCCAGTTTTAAAATACCATATGAGTAGTTCTTGAACTTTTTTTGCTAAATCTTCCAGAAGTAAAAAAAAAACAACAACTTCCATTTCAGATAGTTAAAATCAGTATAGTGAATTCCAAATAATAAATAAATTTGATAAAAAATTTGGACTTTTCAGTATATTATGTTGGAATTGCTTTCTTTTAATTGAACAAATAAGATTCACGGGAATAAAATATTCTACAAAATGTTTGTCATATAATTTTATTTAAAATATGAAAAGTTTTACAATTACTCAAATTAGACTCATGTTCGTGCTGCTGTTTGGCATTTTGTTTTTATGCTACTAGTGCTTAGTGTATTTTTAGTTAACTTTTTTAGTTCATATTTTAGATCTTTTTGCCGTTTTTCTTTTACATTTCAATACTTATGTTGGCTCTAACTGGGACCCTGTGTACACACTTTCGTTCCACCACATGTACCACATGTGGTGTGTATGACTCATAAAGAACCTTGAATCCTTAATTGGATTGTTTTAATGGTCTTCCTTAAAATATTTGCCAACTAGTTTAATATTAACAAAATAACACATTTCTAGTTTATTCATTTGAAGCACCTTTTAATTTTTAAGAACTCAATGAAGATTTATTTCTTATCATTTTAACGTCTTTTCAGCACTGTCTGCATTACAGTTTTATGTTACACTAGTTGTTGATGTGACATATTTACTGAAACAATCTGTTTTCTTTTGGGGAATTTACCCAAACCAAGCCAAAAACAGATTTACGCGCTTCCTGCTGTACTTTCATTTGACTTTACATTTATTTACAACCAAATTAGGACCGTAATCCCCCATTTTGAGCTGATTTTGTTAATCCCCTGGTTTTTTTTTTGTTTTGTTTTTTTAATACTGTTTTCCATCTTTAAATGCTGAAATCTTACACTTGAATATAATGAGAGTCAATCCAAGATGTAAACATCAGTTCGGCGTTCATGAATAATCCCTAACGGCTTTTGCGTAATCCAGCAGGGACAGATGGTGTCATTAATATGGACACAATTACAAAGTGGATCCAGAACCAGTGATAACACGGGCCCCCTTGTTGATGTGCGTTCACGCCCCCACCCATCACTTCATTAGGTTTCATGGTAACCAAAAGGGATTTTCCTGGCCTGAGTAAACTTTGTACAAACTCCACAACTCGGAAGTGTCGACTGTAGAAGCCAGTCCTGTTAAACTAGAGTTCACCGTTTGTTTTTTTTAAAAACTCATTACAAAGTACTGGTACCAGTCCATTTGTTTTTTGTGGAGTGCTTTTGTCTGACTCACCAGTAGGATCACAACCATGGGACTGTTTTCCATTTGCTCAGATGTCAAACATTCCAAGTCATGCCTGCTCAGCACGCCCGGTAGTGAACAAACACCTTTCTTACACTTTGGTTCGACGTTCTTTTGATTAAAGAAATATAAAAGAAAAAGATTAAGCGGTTAGAACAAGCGTTTTACAAAGTATAAGTACACGCATGTGTTAAACTCGATGTAATCTTTCTAAAGATAGTAACTTTTTTTTAATGTGACCAAGTGATCTGGAGCTGGAGGCCTCTTAAAATGTGGTTTGAATTTTGTTTTTTTTAAACCAAGTCATTTACTCCACCTTGTGGCACAACTTTAAAATTTAACCTTTCTAAATGAACTCTTATAGAAGTACAAACATGTCAACTTTATTATCAGAGATTTCCTATTTATTAAGAGAAAGCTGTGGCCCAGATTCTTCCCGGCCTTTTTCCTGAAACATTTACATGTTCGGTATCGGTGTCGTCTGCGTCCTGACCGACTCGTTGGAGCTGCTGAGGGGGAACAACAGTGAGATTCTGGGTGTCTGACTGCTGGTGGGGTGGGGTGGGGTGGGGTGGCGCAGTAGGAATTAGGCTGCTGAGGATTAATGTCTGTTTGTGCATTGGCTGTAGATACACTCTGCTCTGCGTGGACGTAAACTGACAATAACAACTTCATCAAAAACAATCTCATCCTGATTGTTTGGGGACGTTTATCCAACAGATGGATTTTAGTCGACTTCTTTAGAACTGAATATTGCTCTCTTTTTGTCTCCTTTACTGCAGTTTGAGCATATTTTAATGGATTTTTTTTCATACCTTTTACAAGAAGTGATGGTGATACTCCCAACTAATAACTTTAATTTCTACTGCTTTGCGATGGTTTTGCCGAAGAAAGGTAAGCAGAAGCGGCACTACTTGGAGTAGTTTGGTTTTACTTGTTCATGAGTAAAGCCAAGTGTTGATGCTGAGAAACAGTTGAAACTAGGGGTGCACTGATTTGCAGTTTTCTGGCCGATCACTGATCTCTAAAAAGCCTGACCTGCCGGATCCAATTTTGTTTAAAGCGGTACTGTCAGGTGTTATAAAGTCACAATTTCCAATCTTATTTTATTGAAAAACATACCCTTGAACAATATCCTAGAAACAAAACAAACCTGTTTTAACTGGCCATGAGGCGGTAGAAGTGTAAGTCACCAGCTTTACCACGATACGATATTATATTGAATTGTTTGTATGACGATACGATTTTTCTCTATCACAACGTCTGTCGCGATACGATTTCGATTGTTTGATTCACAAATCTGCGATCGATATATTGCGATATCAAATGCCCATCTCACTTTCATATAAATAAATTTACAAAAACAATTCAGATATGATTTAACTATTTTATTTCTGTTATTACAGGCACCAGGCATTTACATTTTTTTCTTAATTAATGGAAAATAAAAACAAATGACTTGTTCAGTATGGTCTCACATTTCTCATGTTGAAGTGCATTTTTAAACCAGTTAACTTAAAAGTTCCCTAATTACGTTTCATTTATAAAGAAACAAAAAAGATATTGAGCTTACATAACATGACTGTCAATATCGTGTTTCTTCTTCAGGTGAACGGACAAATTTGTTGTATTTTAACTCACACTGACACCTTTTGCATACGGCATGAGTTTTGTCTGTTGAGCCGTCCTTCTGTCAGAATCCAAAATATTTCCACAGTGTTGATTAGAGCGTAGCCGTGCACAGAAATGGTGAGACAGACGTGCCTTGGGAATTTCAAAATAAAAGCGTATTTTAAAAATGACTATATGAATCGACGTTTTAGTTTTGCCACAATATAATTGAATCATTAATCATTTAATCGATATATCTATGTAAATCAATGTATTGTTACACCCCTATGAAGTAGTGTTCTGAAATATAAATGATGTTTAGACAATCGTTAAAACTACATAAAAATCGGTAAAATTGGTTTCTCGTGTATCGGCCGATCTCCCAAAATTAAGGAAATCGGGGCCGATTTATCGGTGCACCCCTATTTGAAACATCACGTTTAAACTTTTAAGGATGCTATAGACCACATGTTAAATGTACTAACCTTTAGGTAACTGTTTACTGAGATGTTTCTGTCTCAGAGCAGCATCTATAATTCTGTTCATAGAAGAAAAGTACCAAAAAAATTAGCTGCAGTCACTTGAGAACCTGGCTGTAAACAAAGCGTGTTCTTTCAGCGATGGTGCAGACAGAGCAGCTAAACAGAGCTACTGTCACTCTGGCATGAAGTCCTGTGGCAGGTTTGTAGACCGCTGATCCCGGATTGTGCCCTGAATGTGTGAGGGCACCAAGTAATCACACCACATGGCAGACGAGGTTTTCTTGGTGGTGCTTTTAGGAGGTCATAAAAAAGGTTGGGTTTTTTTTGTTTTTGTCTTGTTTTTGCCACTTTTTATGTAGTTGTTTTGATATTTTAGGTATTTTCAATATAAAAATATGGACTCTTGTACAGTTTGTCATAAATACAATAATCTCCTCCTTACTGTCTCTTTAAATAATACTCAGGTTGGGAAATATGTTGGCATATGTTGCTGATGGTGATTTTTTGATACCATAATCCTCCATTTAGAGCCTTTCTAAAAGTCACAGCAGTTTAATCCTACATAAGAGGAATTGGAGTTCAGCCGATTTAATTCGCACTCTTAAATGTTAAGCCTCAAACATATTTACTGTTTCTGTGCTTAAATTCTCCCTGACAGACACCTGTGTCGTCCCCCCCCCCCCCCCCCCGGTCCATATGCCCCCCTCATTTTAAAGTTACTTTAACGCAGACTCGTGCTGATCTTCATCTCCTATTTTCTGCTTCAAGCTGCTCCAAAGCTAAACGATGATTACAAGACGCCAGCAGCCCCGCAGATCCAGGAGAATGTGTTCATGGAGGGCAGCAGGTCCAAATATGTGGAGGACCTCCACACCGAGGCTCAAGAAGGGTTGAAAATGATGCAAGAAGGTATAAGAGGCAGCAGAGATGCAGTCTGAACATAGTTGCATTGAATTCTACACTGCTGAGTGATGTAATCGCTGTTGTTTAAATTTTTGTTTTTGCAGAAAGCCATATTGGAGAGAAGTTTCAGGATGATGTAAGCACAGTTGTAAGTTCTGTACTCGTATCAATTTAAAGCTTTTCAACACACGTAATTCCGTTTTTTTTTCCCATCCTCGTACAAATATATCTATTCCCTCTTTTTTTCAGTCAACAGTGACAGTCGATACAGACGGGGAAGGGACAGGGTTTGTGACAGACAGCACCATTCCCGACACATCTTCTGTTGTCTCGATGCGCTCATCGGTGTCCACAAGGTCGTCACGCTCCGGACTCACCAGGCAAGGTAACGTATCTGTCATGGCATAAAAAAATAAAAGGAAGATTTAAAAAAACAGCTTGCTGATTTTTATTAATTTATTACAAATGAAATGTTGAGCAGAAAATCCCAGGAATTAAACAAAATAATAATAATGTGTTATGTATTGTCATCATTGTATGTTCCCATACAATGGCAACATTTTATCTCTGCATTTAACCCATCCACCCCCAGGTGGAGCAGTGGGCAGCTATTGAAAGTGCCAGGGAGCAATTGGGGTTAGGGTGTGCTGCTCAGAGACACCACAAGATGTGCAATGACTGGGGATCGAACCTGGGACTTTCTTGTTCTGAGTCGGCTGCCCTGCCTCTAAAATATTACATACTTTTAGTTTTTAATTTGAATTGTTGGTTCAAGAAGACAACCACAATTATTTGAAAATTATGGTTGCTCTGTTTTCTTATATTCAAGTAGAAACCATAAAATATAATCTGTGGATGGATGGAGATTAAACACAGATAGGTTTGTATAGTCTAACATTTTTCCTCTTTTTCAGGATCAACGTTCAGACCACTGAACTCTGGAAAAAAGTCTGAAAAGTCCAAAACAAGAAGAAAACAGAGGAAGAACGTTCCAGGGATTCCTCGACATGTTCAGAAAGAGCTGGGTATGCTGCTAATCATTTAAATGTTGAACAAAAACATTTGCTTCTCAATTACTCATTGATAAAACTATGAGTGTGTTTTTATTTTTTATTTTATTTACTTAACTATATATTTTTCTTTATCATAATAAAACCATGGGGTATTTTTTGTTTCGTCCTTCAGGTTTGGACAGAGTGGGCTGGACAATAAATGAGAAACAGGTTTACAACGGAGAGACTAATGTTAGTTCTACAACTGATGGATCACAGCATGACGCAGGTTCACCAAAGGGGTCCGGTGCTAGCCCGCAAGCGTCTAATTTTATCTACCCGCTCAGTAAAGACAAAGTGGAGCAGCTCAATGCTGCCCATGCAGGACATAGAGATGACCTGGCCTTGCTCCACCGCCTGCATCCTCTTCTCACCGATGAACAGAGGCCCCGGTCTATGGCCGTCCCCTGGATGACTACTTCCTCCAGCCTTCTACAGCAGCCACCCAGTCCTGTCATGTCTATGTCACCCCAGGCTGCTTACTTGTCCAAAATCATCCCCAATGCCGTGTTGCCACCTTCCATCGATGTGGTGGAAATTAGCCGTGGTCGGAGTCGCAGCAGCGTGCGCACTGTCAGCAAGAGCAGCCTGCTGTTGTCCAGCCCAGCTCCCTCCCGTGCTTCTTCTAGAGCCTCTTCATCCAGAACCTCTTCCTCCATGTTCACTTCTGCCTCCCGCTACAATGGTCCCAATATGTCCGACACCTCTTGTTGGAGCAATTCTGACTCAGACACTCTGGTGTCTGACTCTTCAACCATCTCTAGCAGCAGCACCTCTAGACAAAAGTCTGAGCACAGATATACTTTTAAGGAGAACAAAGTTAATATTAATTCCTCTGATGGTACCTCCAAGGTCATCATTAAGGAAGACCAGGTTAAGAAAGATGGGCAATTTGTACGTAGTCTCTCTGTCATGAAGACCAAAAGACCTCCACCTCCTCCAAACCGCTCCAATTCCCTTCACAGTAAAGTGAAGAGAAGGTCACGAGATCTGGCAGAGGTTAGAATTATTTCTGGAGAACAGAGCACACTTGTTCCAAGTGGAGAAAACAAGCCTGGTACATCTCCAGTCCTCTACAGGAGCATAAACAGCCCTGACTACCATGCAGACACCAGTTCTCTGGATGAATCAACAGGCTCTGCGTCATTCACTTTCATCAAATCTCAGCTACAGGAGCCAAAAGCCGAGGATTCAAAGAATGTTGCAGAAATCATTTACAAAGAAGATTCATATAAAAAGCAGCAACCTCTTCAGGAGAACAAGCCCAGCAAAGTCATCTCCCCATCCAGTGGCTACTCCAGCCAAGATGGAACATCCCCAATTCACAAGTCATCTCCACAGCACAAGAACAACACTTTCTTGACAAAGCTTCATAAGTTGTTTGGTGGGTCTGCTCCATCCTTTTCAGCACACCCAGGTGTTGAAAATGTTAAACCCACAGGGGAACCTAAATCTGACACGATCAGCGTCAGCCCTTCTGTGCAGACCTTGAGAGAACTCTTCAACATCCCCCCCCCACCCAAAGTCCACGCTCCGCCACCTCCTCCCCCTGAGGTATGGGCTCACAGTAAACGGACATTTGAGTTACTCCTGGGGCCTCCAGCTCCTGACGACGTCTACGCCATCATAAAAAAGAATCCAAAGGACAGGAGACACCAGAGGCAGTCCCCCTCTGTGTCTACAGAAAGTTCTGTGAAAAGCTTAGTGTTGGAAAGAAAACACAAGAATCCAGTTACCGAGTCAAAGACGGTTCAAGAAAGTAGGATCTTCTCTGCAGAGATTCACAAAGAGAACAATGAAAGTCTAGCTCAGAATGGAAGTTTGAAAGAAATCTATATGGATGAGAAAGTGAGAGTATGTGATATGTTAAATGGGATTTTTGTGAAGGCTGTAGAACAGCAGGCAATAAAAGAAGGTTGTCAGAAAGCAACCAGGCAGGCTACAGAGGTAAAGACCTTCACAGATCCATTACCCAGTATTTCATTAGGACGCATTTCTCCATCACCGTCTCCTCAACTAGCAGACCATCCAGTCCAACGCACCACTACAGAGACCACTGAAGGTGCTTCTGTCTCAAAGGTACAAGTTACATCACCTGAATCATCCTGGCCCCCGCCACCCCCACCAATGAATCAAGGGAAGATCAGTAGATCTGATGAGACAGATTTTCCTCTTCCACCTCCCCCATTGTTTGGTGAGGTGGGACTAGTTTCACTTGTTCAGGTGCAACTAAAGGAGTCCAGCCTCGGTGATGACTTATCTTCTACGTATGTGTCTGTTAAATCAAAGTTGAAAGTAGAACAAGTCACGGTGTTCACTGGGGATGAAGCACAGAAGCGCTGTTCACCTGACAAGGTGGTGTCTTTATCCACGAGTGTCCCGCCTCCTCCACCATACACAGCTCCCCCTCCACCAACAGTTACAATTCAGAAAGTTGTTCTTCCACCAAAAGAGGCTTCTCCACCACCTCCTGTGGGATCCATCACTTATGTTGTTCAAGAGGTCATTCCACGGGTTCCATCGCCAGACAAAGATGCTTCACCTCCTGTAAATGTTGTAGAAGTGTTGACCTTCCCTCCCAAAAAGACTACTGCTCTTTCCCCTGAAAATGCTTCTCAGCCTGCTGGAGACACAGCACCTGAAAGCAAGCTTGCTCCACCACAAAGTATTCCACCTCTACCGCCACTGCCATCGCTTCTCCAACTGTCAGAGCAGCTTACTGATCCTCCGCACAAGAACATCTCATTGGAACCAGAAACTAAAGACTTATCGAACAGTATTTTCATCACCCCACAGAGTATTCCACCTCCTACAGAGCCTCTCCTCAAACATTCAGTCATAATTCAGACAACTGATGATCCAGCAACTGATGATGCACCTCCTTCTCCTCCACTGGAGTTCAAAAACCCACCTTCATTAAAAGAGGCAGAAACACCTGCTCCTAATCCACCTATTAACATTCCCCCGCCTCCACTTTTACCAGCACAGATTCCTGCCAGTATAAATCATCAGTCTAGTCGTCTGAGCACAGAAAACCAAACCCAAGAGAAGAGCTCTGCATCTGATGGGCACAAGGAACTGTCTATCATCACCCCATCCCTTCTGCAGAAGGTCAAGCTTCGGTCCATCAACAGCAGTCCCGAACCCCTTGAAGGTCAAGAGCAGGCCTCTGTGACAGCTGTGCACAAGGAACCCACCTCAGTTATAACCCATTCCCTCCTGCAGATGGTCAAGCTTCGATCAGTCAACAGCAGCCCTGAACCATCAGAAGCTGCTAAAGAGGAAACCAAGTCCACCAGCACATCAGCTCCCTTGCAAATAGTCAAGCTTCAATCAGTCAACAACAGCCCTGAACCACCAGAAGCTGCTAAAGAGGAAATCAAGTCCACCAGCACATCAGCTCC